CCTGATGGGATTGGAGCTCTATGAAATGGGGTAAGGGCTCTACACAGTGGAGTTGGGGCTCCATGCAAGACATTGGGACATGATCCATGGGGGGCTAAAGAGTCCAAACTGGGAATTGCAATTGGAAGACAGGAATAACAGAGGAGCTGAAGACCCCTTAGCAGCATCATCTATCTCTCTGGCTAATGCATGACCAAATGTCCCTTACTATACAAGTACTTTCCCATAAAATGGTTTTCTAAAAGCTTTTGGACAGTAGCCTAGTAGCCCCATTAAGTCTTAGCTATTGCAGTGTGGTGCATGGATTCCTCCATCAATGCTCAGCGAGAGCAATTTTAGACACCTAACTTTGAAAATGCTGTCCTAAGCCATGAATACTGGTGTGATTCTTTTATCATGAAGAGAGTCCAAATGAAACCAAGCTGGAGTCTGCACAAGACAGGGACGACTGTAAAATTCTTTTTGCCCACAAGAGGGTACCTCCCACACTGTACCACTTCTTAGGGCAGGATAAAAATTCAGTTTAAACAGTCAGTGAACGTGATGCATAATTGGTCACACTTCAGATGCTTTATCTCTTACACTGAATGAGATAAAAGAAAAAAATCATTGTGTAGAGTTCTAGAGACAAGCAAAAGACAGGAAGATGTAAAAAATGCTGAGCTGTAAAAAATTGTATGAGTTTAAATTAGGATGGAAAGAAGAAAACAGAACAGCATCTTCATAGTTTCTGCAAGTCAGGACCCTATTGCACCTAATAGTGCCCATCCACAAACACAAAAATCAGAGAACACCTGCCTTATTAATCTAATTTAACAAAGATATATTTAGAATTTATTTTTAAATAAAAAAAAATTTCAGAGATATTAAACACAGAAATTACTAACTCCTTGGTAGACAACTGGCAGACAAATAAACCTGACTTTTAAAACATACAGTATATCACACTTAGAAAAATTCTTATGTTTTTCTAGATCTTAACAACAGAAAGAGGCATTTTTCTCTGATTTTTAATAAACTTCAGCTTTCTTTCATAAAGTCTACAAACATCTCTTAAGGCTTACAGACAAAGCTGTTGTGTGTCTGGTGACTTTCAGGTCTGTACTTTGTGTTTGGTCAAGTAAACATGAAAATATACTTCACTGATAAGACAAAAGATGTATACATATGAAAATAGAGATGAAGAGAAACCAAAGGTCAAGGAAGAACATATTAGTATCGCAGAGAAGGCTTATGAAGTGAGCAGTCAAATCGGTATTTTAGTTAGGTTTAGGAGTTCAGAAATGCTTACACAGAGTTTGTATCTTTTGGGGCAGAAGTGATCTAGTGGGATGAATCTGACCTGGGACAAGAGTTATAGGGTGGCCTGGTGTGGCCAAGAAACTTTATGACCTGTTTCTCCTTTTTTTATCTCGATCTTCCTTTCTTCTGTCTTTTCCTGTGCCTTGAATGCATGGATGCTGTCTGCTGTGCTGCCTGTGCCCTGAGAGTTTGCACACCCTCTTTGTATTATGGATGAGTAGCACTTGACACCTACATCTGCATCAGAGTAGAAAGGATTTATTTTGTCTTGAATCTAGCACTAAAGGACCAATTCATTAAGGCTCGGTAGCATTTGCTGACCAAAGAGAGTTCCCTGCCTCTGTCATGCTTTGTTCAAGCCCTTGAACCCCCAATAAGTCAAAGCAGAGACAAGGTACAGAATCACAGTCTGCTGTTGGTAAAGATTGGTTTATTCAAAACTTTTTCTTGCTGCTACATTATACATAGCAGCTATGAATGGATAATTCCATGTATGCCATGTTACTTCTCATGGTTTAAGAAGGAACAGCACATTGCGCTTGCAGCTGCCATGAATTCCCAAGAGTTGTGTTATTTTACATAGTGCTGTCTTCTCTACATTATACTCTGCACATCTTGGTACGCACACAGCTTTGGTCACAGAAAGGTACTTGTAGGGTGAAGAAAAGGTTTAAATAACAATGATAAAATCTTGCACAACCCAAGCTTTTTTGCAGATGGGCCAAATATTTGTTTCTGTACTTCTGAGTCTCCCAAAGAGTTAATTTCCACAAGCTCCAATCCTTACTGCTTTAACTATGATGGCTGTGGAAGCAACTTCAGAGATCTTCCATCACCACTAGACTCCATATGCAAGAAAGCAACATACCTGACTTTTAGACTCATGGCTGCTAATGCCTTATGACACATAACAGTTAGAGGATTTCAGAAAAGGATGATTTTCAGGATTCTGGTTTCCCTATATTCTCTCAGACACATCTAACAGTTATACTCCAAAATAAATGGGCATGCAGCTCTGGAGAAACACAATCGAAAAGGAAGTGGACTTAAGCAAGTGTTACTCCTTATCTGATAATAAACAGAAGGTGTGAAGGGAAGGAGAAAAACATTACAAATTCATGGGCTTTCTTTCTCTATTTGTGCATGTCTGCAGTAAATGCCTTTATTTTTAATAGAAGTCACACTACTATCTATATATCTCTATATCTTCGACTTTCATACAGTGTCTATTGGAATGGTATCATAAACCAGATATGCAGCAACGGAAAAACATGGATTTTGAATAAGAAAGAGCTACTACATCTCATTCACTTCTCACATTCAATGGAAGAGGTTGTTTCTGAGGATTTGTGTCCTTCCAATACACATGGGAAAAAAATAGAATTGACAGACTGTAATTAAAGACTGCATTAGTGCATTTGCAAAAGCAGACAACATGAAAATCTGAGGAGTAAATTTAATTCTCCCATTCCTGACCATTAAAGTGTTTGGCTTTGTAATTTCAATATTTTAACATAATTTTTGCTATGTTGTGTATATCTGTAGGACCCCACTTTTTAGTTTACACCTCCTGAGGGACTGAATGCTTCAGAGTTAATGAACTTTCTCATCAGTTGGCCATTAGTTTGAACTGAAGCCAACTCATCAGGATGAAAAGCATCTTGCATCTAATGGATGTTTGGGGTTCTGTATAGAATGAGTTTGGCAGGTCTCTTTCTCTAGCTGCCACAACACAAACATGCCATAATGCTCTGCACTAATTGGCAGATTCAGGGAAGAGGCCAAATGTTGGCTGATCTATTGAGTCTGATCTACTCTTTTTGCCCCTGGAGGAAATATTCCACCTCAGGTATGTTGTCATGGTTTGTCAGTGTTTCTTAAGCTTACCAGACTGCCTTCTTTCAAAATCCAGAGGATATTAGTCATGAAGGACATCTGGTGATGCCTTTCATTATTACTAAAACCACACAACTATTTAAAGACAGAGTTTGCCATGAATACATCTTTTCCATATAGGCAAACATTTAGTTAGCTAAACTGAATAAAATTTCACCTGCATCTATCAAAACTTGGGGTCTACATATATTTGCAAAACTCCTACTTGCTTCAAGGAGATTTTTTGTCCCAGTTCTGTATTGACAAGTGTTTGTGTTTACCCAGAATTCCCTTACATACTTCAACCTTTTATTTGTACATTCTAGAATGTATATATATGTGCGTGTGTGTGTGTGTGTGTGTGTGTAGGTATAAAATATCAGTGCATTCAATATTCCTTCTTGGAGGAAAAAAACAAAAGTCTGTCTCTGTATACCTTAATTGGAAATTCTTCGTATGTCAGTGAATGTACAGATAAAAAGCATATTTTTGAAAAGCATTTTTTGATTCTCATTCTTTTAATCTCTTTTTTTTCTTTATTGACACCAGGAAGTAACTGAAACTTAGATCTTTCTAGCTTTCACAGATATGTATTCTGAATTTATATTCAGGTTGGATATAGAGTCAAGTTCTCCATCATGGCTGGATCAAATGCCACAAAATGGGGAAGGAAAGAAGATGAATTGAAGAATAATCTTGTCTTGTGTTTCCCTGCTCTCAAAACCTGCTAGTGAAACAGAATATCTGTTCTTCTGACTACCTGCACTGAAATAAGACAGTTATCTGAAACCTTTCATTTGCATTGTCTGCAAACGACCAGACAGAAAAGTGCCAAACTAACATGGAAGGGAGAGTTCTGAGCTCCTGTTTAAGCCATGCCTACCAGGTATTTCTGTATTTACTGAGGAAGATTTCTGGGAGATATTCACCGCCAGAAATCGGTCATGCACCCAGTGAAGCACAGAGTGAAGCACGTGTTGTCAGATGTATCATACTTTTCGGTGTCTCCCCTAAGCTGGCACACTCTATGAAGACTTGTGTGGTGCACTCTGCTGGAAGGTATCTGTTGTTCCCAAGCACCTCTTATTTTTTATTAGTCAGGCAACAAATAAAGAGTCTACATGGAGCAGACTTCTGTTTCCTCCAGCTGTTTCCAAGGTATAATTCTGCAGCTAAACTGTGCTACCACCAAAGCCCTGGGATCATATTCATTTTGCAGTGTGCAGTCTTCTCCATCTAAAAAACACAGCAGCTGGCCTACGTCCTCCTCTACTCCTTTTGCTCATGCCCACCCAATGTTTGGATCTGCTTTGGGCACTTTATCCCACTTGTTCTCTCCCTTTTATTCCTTTTCTTCTTTTCCTTTTGAAAATGAAAGAGCATATTGGGTTGGTGTTCATGACTTTATGCATAAAGCACTAAATGGTGATATTTTTATCTACTTCCCTCTAGTAAAAATTCTAACCATTCTCATGGCCTCAATGAGGCAGGAATATTGTTTCTTAAACCATTACTTTTTTTAAGTTACAGATCCTTTTTTCTCCCTCACAGTTACTGATTTCAACTCAGGACACCTACCCATTACTGCTCAAAATTTCTTCATTATTTAACATTTATTCAGTCCATTTGACAGAAAAAAGTTTGGTGGTGTACTTGGGAGAGGGGACATAACACCATACACAATTTAAACACTTTAGAAATGTATATAAAAAGTCTAAAAATACATGATTGTACTAATAATTCCAGTTTTAGAACAATTCATTAGTACTAAACATTAAATATTAGTTTAAAATATTTTTTAATTCTAGTTTTATTTTTTATAGAATCCTGAGTTGATAGGGGCCCACCAGGATCACTGATTCCAACTTCTGGCCATGCACAGGGCACCCCAACAATCACACCATGTGCCTGAGAGCATTGTCCAAATGCTTCTTGAACTCAAGACAGGTTTGGTGCTGTGACCGCTTCCCTATGGAGCCTGTTCCAGTGCTCAACCACCCTCTGGGTGAAAAACCTTTTCCTGATATCCAGCTCAAACCTCCCCTGTGATTTTACCCCTTACCTGGATTATATCTTTTATCAAATATGTGATGAATTAAATAGAAGAGCAGACTGTAAAACTGACAAGTTTAGATTAGCAACTGAGTCTGCAATGAAAAGAAAGGTAAACCTTTCAAACCTAAATACCGTATGTTTTCCAATGTCAGTGACTGAAGTCAACAGTCTAGAATACATTGCCATCAATGCTGTGACTTTTCAAAAAAAAGTAACCAACAGTATTTTTTTCACTAACCCAACTGCGGCATCAATTCCAATGTTTCTTTCTTTTCCTTCAAACCCACTGGAAATGTGTAAAGTTCAGGGGCAGGACTATGCTGACAGACATGTTTCCAGACCTCTTCCAGCTCCTATATTTTCACTGTTGTCAAGGTGTTCTCAACAATGCCAAACTCTTTGTCAGACTGTTCATCAATAATTCAACAAAAAGGAAGGATCAACCAACAAATCAACCAAGAAGTCCATAAAGTCTTGGACAGGGACTTTCAGAGTTGTCATTGGCATCTTACACCTCAAAGTTTTAATATTTTTTCAGTAACGAGCTTCCACAGTTACTACCACAAACACTGATAAGAGTAGGGACTAGATCTGCAGAGAAGGCACATGCTAATGAGTTGCATCGAGCAACAGCTTTATCTGTTAAAAACACTCCTACTCTGTCCCAATAGAAACCTTTTATTGCAGAACTTATTGCAGCAGTGTGGTTTCTTTGACATATTTTTGTAAAACTGAAGGGGTGGGGGTTTTTTCTATTTTCAACTCTCCTCACAGGTTACCTTTATTCTGTGTAGTCTACTGCAATTTACAGAACCATAAGCCTCTTTCTGTTTTCAGTGTATGACCTGAAAGAGGAAAGACAGGACTTAAAAAAAGGGAAAGAACACCTGAAATTCCAGAAACCTTGAATAAATTGTTTCAAAATTTCTCAAAAGAGGTTGGATCAGCATTAGTAATAAAAGTGGTGTTCTGAAGTCACATATGAATCCAAACCAGTAAGAGATACTGTGTCATTTGCTTCCTGATTCTGTCAGAAACTGGTCATCTTGTAAGAACTTTTCAAAAAACTGTTAATATCTACAAAGCAGATAAGAATATTGCTCTTTTTTTTTTGCATTTGTATAGACATTTTACTTGTATTTGTACAGACATTTTAAATGCTTATCCTTAATTTCCTATAACGGAGAAACTGCATATCATAGACAGATATGTCTCAAATGCTTCATAAGGCTTTTGGTTTCACATAAAGGTATCCATCTACAAAGGCAGATATTAAACGATTAGACAGTGATCTCTATTAAAACTTCTATAGTTCTTCCATAGGTCTAATTAATTTTTCTTTTATATTTGTAGTATTCCATGTGTAAATGAGTGTATATACCACAGGAAAGCAACAATTGTTTTGTGCATGTAATTAAAGGGGGCCTTAGTGTCTAGTGCTATATTTTCAGTATACTATAGAATATCCCAAATCCTGTACACACAAAATGATACATAGTTTTCATGTGCAACTAGAAAGTGAGTTAATAATTCATATTTTACAATATTTACTGAGTAAAAGGGGTCATGCTACACTTTTTACATTCCCAAGCTCCAGACCCAGACTTTCCAACCCTTTATTTATCAAAAATGAAATATTATGCTAACCTTTAAACAACAGCCTATTCACAGGAGCCAAAGGTTTTTATTGCTGACCTATTAATCTATTATAAAATAATAATTTCCCCGAGTTGCCTTTTTTTAAAGAAAAGCAAAACAAATGCACAAAGATTAAAAGAATAAGGATTAAAATTCCCCAAAATATTCCCCAAACATGGGATTTCTTCTTGTTTCCTCCACCAGAACACATCAAGCAAATACTACAATTTATAGCTTGCCCCCCTTATAAATCATAAATCCACACAGAAAAAAAAAATCAGTTCTGTACATACCTCTCTTCTGATAATTTTAAGTTTTCCCATGTCCATTAGGCCCTTACAACCTAATCTTGCTCTGCCAATTGCTCCCATGGTGAGATCATTAAGTAAATTATTTAAAGATCAAACAGCCTGCAGTGACAATGGAGTTCCATGTAAGGTAAATGCTTCAAAGGCCCCCTCCCCCATTCTCAAATTATAGCTCTACAGGCTATTCATCACCTCTGGATGGGGCATGCCCCACCATTACTTGGCTTTTTGCTGCAGGCTAAGGTAGCACCACTAATTGGCCTTTGTAACAAAACTGACCTGTGGACAGGATAAAACTTGTTTGGAGCTTTAGAGACAACAATTATTCAAGGTTAAAAACACATCAATGCTAGAGCTACGTCACTATAATAAGGGTGAATGAATTTCTTCCTCTTGGGTCTTAATGTGAAAGAATGCGTTCATGTTGTGCCCATGACAAACAAAAGCTCCTTCAGGTAGTTGAACTGGTCCACTTTTCTTTCTTTCCCCCACCCCTTCTTTTTTAGCTCAAGGACAAGAAGGTCTATCATTTTCTTTATTTCTTCAGAGCCCCTCACAGTGAGGGCCCTTTGATCTCTGAGAATAATGGTAGATGGAACAATTTAACTGCTTCATACAGGTGCAGGAGTTTATTTGACAGGTTGTGGCTTTTATTTCTAGCACATTAGCTGCGTGCATACAAATGGGCTCTTGACAGATTCAAGCAGGTAGATCAGAATTCTTTTTTTTTTTTTTTTTTAAGAAGCCTCAACAAAAGCCTGACCACACCTGCAATGATGGTACAATTTGAAATGCTGCATAAATTAAAGACAGGTAAGGCCACTGCATTCCCTGCTGTGCATGAATTTTTACAACTAGGAAAAACAGCAGGTAGGACCAAAAGGAGGATGCATCAAGTAAACAAAAAGGGATTCAGTCACTTGTCTCTCAAAGTAAAGAGACCCTATTTGATCTGAATTATATTAAAATAAATAATGCTACTAGACAAGATTTTATGCTGTATTGCCCATAACAGGATAGAATGCAGGATAGAAGCAAAGTGAGGGAAAACATTTTCAAATTGCTTTTACTCACACCAGTACTATTTTCCCAAAGGAAGATTATCTGTACAAATTTTCTTGCCTTTACAGTTACTTATGATTATGACTAGTAAAGTGAACATCTACCCTCGGAAACCTTGTAAAATGAGGGTTTCTTCACTGTTTGTTTGGGGTTTTTTTTGGTTTTTCTCTTAAAGTGCCATTGAAATGGCTTGTGGAAGGGGATGTTATGCAATAGTGTACCAGCTAATAACAAGTCTACTAAAGATTGCTTCTTCCTGCTACCACTTATGGAAAGCCACACATGCATTTTATGTTTATTTGTCTCCTACCTCCTCTTTTGAGTTTGCTGTTTTTTCGGTGCATTACAGTTCTTCAAAGAAGAATCCTGCCCTCAAAGTCATGTAGTCAAGAAAAATAAGACATGGGAATGCACAGACCTCGTGCCAACATAAATAATTCATTTGGAAGTGTTATATCAAGACTAGGAGTACAGATGCAGTTATGCTAGAGTCAAGATATTTTATACTGGTTTACCTTATTTGACTTGTGAGAATACTTATTCTAGACTAGCAGTCTTTATGGCAATGTAAGTGCTTCAGCACTGCAGGACTGTACAAATGTGATACTGTGTTTAACATTATAAACCTCGAGGTCACATTTACAACAGTCCACCTCTGCTGACACAGCTGTGATCAAGTGGAACATGAAGAGGTAAGACAGGTAGTCAGCACTGAGAAAAACCCTACATAGTCCTTTCCAGTCCAAACTACTGTATTCTCAGTGTATATTTTGTCCCTGCAGAGAACTGGTAAGGTACTGCTTCATAGCTAATGTGCTCCTGGAGGACACATGGCCCTTATATCACCTGTGTGGTAACTATAGCAGCTATTAAACAGATTTGGTGAAAATCACACCCCAGTTCTCTGGGCAATATAATGTTCTCAGAGATGCAACAGAAGAACAAGATTGTACTGAAGAATAAATACTGGGGATTTAGTCAGTTTAACTGATTCAAAGGTGTGCATAATGAGTCATGTTCAAATGTAATTTAAACATGGGGTGTTTGTTCAGGTAAACTGATGTTTTACTCCACATAAACAACACATTCCAGAGGAGAGTTTGAGTTACACTTAAATGTTTCAGAGAAAAAATCCTGAAGTGAAGGTGAAGGTCCTAGAGTGAACTTTCCACTGATAGAGCACAGAATACTGAAGTTCTGAATTGGATGTAAACCACAATTTTCTGCTGGCACAGTATAAAATAATGTAATTATCCTGGGAAGATTCCTGCCATTGGCACATCCCCAGAGGATTTTTGTGGTCAGCTGATGGGAGAGGTAGTTTATGCTGTTTTGTGCATCATTTGGCTATTGCAGTTCCTGGGGGGCTCCATATTGCTGCAATGCTGCAGGATAAGCAAGGGTCTAGTGGAGGTCAGTAACCACCTGCAGGGTTGTGTCTCCTGACAGTCTTCCAAGAAGTTTGTCTGCTAGCAAGTTGGATCGCAAATGGCTGCTGTAGAGTATGCTAACATAGCGCCTGCTGTGACGCTTTATCATGGGAAGATGCCACCCGGTAGCAGAGCAGAAGGAATGCTACCCTGCGGAGCAGCAGATCGCTGGAGAGCTCACAGTTTCCATGTCACTGTGGGAAATGCTGCCCAAAGCCTGTAGCACAAAGACAAGCGGCTCCCCCAGGCCAGACCATGGGCTCTGCCGTGGCTGGCTGTTCTGCCCAGGGACTCACTGAGAGATCAGTATCTGAAAATAAACTCAATCCCGTATTAAATTCTTTCTTCTCCACCCTGGACCAGCTGTGCTAGGATGCTGACCAACAGGCACTCCTTGTTCTAGAACAAATAGCCTCCTTCTTTGTTTGTTTGCCTGTTAATTAAAAAACAAATTCTCATTTGGAAAAAGCTG